TAAGGTCAGCAGTTCGAAACTACCAGCTGCTCTGCGGGAGAAAGATGAGGCTTTCTACTCCCGTAAAGATTTACACCCTCGGAAACCCTGTACCAGGCAACTATACTAGGATCATTGGTGGTAGGGGTTGTTATATTCTGTGAAGTCCGTTCTGACTCATAAGGATCCTTTACAGGGCTTCTGAGGTTGTAAATCTTTATGGAAGCAGAAAACCTCAACTTTCTCCTGTGGAACAGCTGGTATTTTCAAACTCCTGACCTGCATTTAGCAGTCCAACTGGTAACCCACTATGTTACCAGAGCTCCTTGTCTAGTGCTGCTGGATACTCTAAATTATTATAATTTTTAAATTACTTATTTATTGTATAGGAGTTTATTAAGTGGCTTATTTATAAGATACAGAGTCCTGGTGCTGTAGGATAAACACTAGATCACAAGGTCGGTTTGAATCGCATGGTTGGTGGTTTGAACTCACCATCTGCTCCTCAGAAACCCTATACAGGGTTGCTACGAGTTGGAACGGACTTGAAGGCACTTAATAACACCAACTTACTTACAAGTTGGAACCCTGGAAAGCAGCAGGGCAGACTTTTGTTTTCATACCCCTCAGTGGGAGTTAGAGACTTTTATGATTCTAATGAACAAAGGAGGCTCCATGCTAGCATAGAGCCTCCCATCCACTCTGCACCTCCAGGACCAAACCAGCAAGTGTAACATAAGAATGATTGAGCAAGTGGAAGTGAGCTAGCAGAAAGCAAAGACATGACCATATTTGGCCTACAGGAGATCAGAGTAGTCTTGGCAAAAGTAATGTTTTATGTAAACCCCATTGGAGGAGAAACCACCCAGGACTTCATGAAAAACTCACAGGAAATGAGAGAAATGAAGCAGCAGCGTCCAACTGCAAAATGTTTGGTTCTAAGTCAACAATCTCTTTTCTAATGATAAGAGCTTAAGTATAACCCCATGATATTATTGTTAAGTGCCACTGATTTGATTCCAACTCATAGCTACTGTATAGGGTTTCTGAGGAACACCGACCCTGCAGTTGAAAACGACCTTGTGATCCAGTGCTTATCCTACAGTGCCACACCAGGATTCCACAACCCCATAGATATTGTTTTATTATTTTAGTCAAGCC